CAAAACTTACACACACGTAATATGATTACATAATTCAAAAAATCTAAATATATTCTCTATAAAAAAGTGTAAATATATTGTAGCAAAACACACCACACCAGTCGACTATGGCTGTCGATAACGGAAACGTCTACGTCAGGGTGTCGGGCACACTAAAACCCGAGTGTTATGTAACAAGAGTAAAGTTATTATAACAAAAGGTTGTATACGTTTTGTTATTATCAGCCCATGGTATTATGAAACATTACAAAACGCTCAATTCACCTTAATAAGGATTATCGATTGTCAAGATTAATGTGCAAGCCAAGTTACTGTAGACTGGTAATAAACAATGACATCCAAAGCAACACTTTGACAAGGTAATGACTGAAAATAGATACCATCAACAACATTCTTGTTAAAATAAACACACAAGTATAATTATATCATTGAAAAACTGTGAATATATTCTATCAACAAAATGTGTGTCAAAACTTACACACACGTAATATGATTACATAATTCAAAAAATCTAAATATATTCTCTATAAAAAAGTGTAAATATATTGTAGCAAAACACACCACACCAGTCGACTATGGCTGTCGATAACGGAAACGTCTACGTCAGGGTGTCGGGCACACTAAAACCGAGTGTTATGTAACAAGAGTAAAGTTATTATAACAAAAGGTTGTATACGTTTTGTTATTATCAGCCCATGGTATTATGAAACATTACAAAACGCTCAATTCACCTTAATAAGGATTATCGATTGTCAAGATTAATGTGCAAGCCAAGTTACTGTAGACTGGTAATAAACAATGACATCCAAAGCAACACTTTGACAAGGTAATGACTGAAAATAGATACCATCAACAACATTCTTGTTAAAATAAACACACAAGTATAATTATATCATTGAAAAACTGTGAATATATTCTATCAACAAAATGTGTGTCAAAACTTACACACACGTAATATGATTACATAATTCAAAAAATCTAAATATATTCTCTATAAAAAAGTGTAAATATATTGTAGCAAAACACACCACACCAGTCGACTATGGCTGTCGATAACGGAAACGTCTACGTCAGGGTGTCGGGCACACTAAAACCCGAGTGTTATGTAACAAGAGTAAAGTTATTATAACAAAAGGTTGTATACGTTTTGTTATTATCAGCTAATTGTATTAAGAAACATTACAAAACGCTCAATTCACCTTAATAAGGATTATGGATTGTCAAGATTAATGTGCAAGCCAAGTTACTGTAGACTGGTAATAAACAATGACATCCAAAGCAACACTTTGACAAGGTAATGACTGAAAATAGATACCATCAACAACATTCTTGTTAAAATAAACACACAAGTATAATTATATCATTGAAAAACTGTGAATATATTCTATCAACAAAATGTGTGTCAAAACTTACACACACGTAATATGATTACATAATTCAAAAAATCTAAATATATTCTCTATAAAAAAGTGTAAATATATTGTAGCAAAACACACCACACCAGTCGACTATGGCTGTCGATAACGGAAACGTCTACGTCAGGGTGTCGGGCACACTAAAACCCGAGTGTTATGTAACAAGAGTAAAGTTATTATAACAAAAGGTTGTATACGTTTTGTTATTATCAGCTAATGGTATTAAGAAACATTACAAAACGCTCAATTCACCTTAATAAGGATTATGGATTGTCAAGATTAATGTGCAAGCCAAGTTACTGTAGACTGGTAATAAACAATGACATCCAAAGCAACACTTTGACAAGGTAATGACTGAAAATAGATACCATCAACAACATTCTTGTTAAAATAAACACACAAGTATAATTATATCATTGAAAAACTGTGAATATATTTTATCAACAAAATGTGTGTTAAAACTTACACACAGATGATATGATTACATAATTCAAAAAATCTAAATATATTCTCTATAAAAAAGTGTAAATATATTGTAGCAAAACACACCACACCAGTCGACTATGGCTGTCGATAACGGAAACGTCTACGTCAGGGTGTCGGGCACACTAAAACCCGAGTGTTATGTAACAAGAGTAAAGTTATTATAACAAAAGGTTGTATACGTTTTGTTATTATCAGCCCATGGTATTATGAAACATTACAAAACGCTCAATTCACCTTAATAAGGATTATGGATTGTCAAGATTAATGTGCAAGCCAAGTTACTGTAGACTGGTAATAAACAATGACATCCAAAGCAACACTTTGACAAGTTAATGTCTGGATGGACAGCCAATAAAATAGGTAGCAACCAGTTCATACCTAAAGGCTGATGGGTTGGGTTAGCTAGCGAGAAATAGACACAGATGCCTTTCCCTTAATACAGGCCACTTTGACAAAATTCCCGACAAAGTACGACAAGGGTTCAAATTATACCCACAAACATTAAGAAAGTTGCCAGATTAAATGAATAACTCCCAGTAACAAAAAGGTACTTAAGCTAATCTAGACAACCTCGGGAATTTAATAAAAGACGTGATTTAACGAATCCTAGCTAAAAGTTCAGCTCAGTAAACCAGTCTAAGAAAGTACCTTAAGACGAAAATGCCTCCTAAACTAATTACAGACAGTTTCGAGTGACCATCCAGTGATCTCATGCTCCCGAGTGGTGTTAGAGGGTCCGAAACCGCCGATTCTTGTAAACGAGGGCGCGGACGTCAGAGGAGAGAACCCAGATTGGAAACCGCTGTAAAGCTACAACTTGATGAGGACTTTCTTAATACAGTGTAATTATTTATAAGACACATATGAAAATAAAGGCACATGAAAAGTATCGCAACACCCATCAGACGTTATCCTTGACCTATCTTGTTATCCTGTTATCACCAGAACACAAAGCAGGACCATTAACTCGGTGTCAAGCTCAACGTCACTGGGTTTTCAAGTCATGGATAAGGGTTGACCGATTTCTTATTGTTTAAGACTGATGGCCGAGATTGGGTTTGGCGTAGTAGAAACACTGGGTGCCTCTCACATTCCTCTAAACATGACCTTAAGACGATTAGACAAAATCTGAATGGAAAACGGTGCATCACTGAGACCTTAGACGGGGTTGTTGCATCATATGTGGATGCCAATCCCCTTAATACAAGACAAGTCTTCATGGACGACAATGCTTGGTATATCGTGCACGTGACGTTGGGGAAATTTTACGTCAAGAGGCAGTGGCAACTCTACTTCGGCCCGCCAGGAGTCCGGATCGCAATCCCATAGAGCATGTTTGGCACATTATGGATCGCAGAATACGCCAGAGAGATCCCCTTGAACAAAATCTTGGTGTATTTGAACCAGCCCTTATCAAGGACGGAACGTGTATCTCAATGTCAAATCCAACGTCTCATACAACGTCCCATACAACGTGTCACTGAGGACAAGAGTCAGGGATGTTATTGCAGTTGGCGAAGATTCAACCAGATACTGACATTGTGCTGTTGTATTCATACTTATGGGATTTCTTGAGGATTATATGTCAGAATCTTGACAATGACGGCACTTGTTAGTGTCATACTACCTTACTAAACAGTACTCCAAAATGATTATTTGAAATGTTGGCTTCTAACTGAACCATATTTTTTCGTTCTCTTGCATTTAGATTTGCCATTTAAGTAGTTATAGATGGTCAATGAATCCAGGCAGCGTTTTAAATGTGGATTTGGGTGAGTTCTTATGTAATGGTTTATGGCAACATGCTGATACTATGAAACATCCGGGGTGTTGCGACACATTTTTCCATGTGCACATTTCCACCAATACGTGGTTAAACAAAGTTACAACAACATTTTCAATACATTAATAAATAAATAAATAAATACACATGAAACCTGACTAGGCACTCCTCTATTTTAAAACAGCAATATGAACTGAAAATATCAGAACTTTCATACTTCTAGAAGGAGACCGAATAACTGACTGCAGCAAAACAACCAAATGTACGCAATGAGTTAATTTGTATGCTCTGTATGTGAGAAAGGACAACAAGCCATGATTCAGCGCTGTCCTAGCATGACACCTGATGAGTGCCAGATCTCGCTGTCTGTATAGGCCCCTTGAAATCTACCGTTGTGTTTGACATCAGTATCTCGTGTATCCGCCTCGTGCCTCCACATTGCTCTTCATACCACCAGTGAACCTGCGGATACGTTAGCTAGGCAATTAACGCAACTCCTCATGCAACACTGCCGCCAGTTCACCCAATTTTGTACCGGAGGGTCCCTGCCCTGCAAAGGTCAAACAAGAATGTCTCAGCTGTGTGGGGTTCAAATCAGTTCTCCTTGCAGGCCAAGGGAGGGTATTAATAGCAACTCTCCCACAGCACGGAAATGATGTGGCCTAGTGTTACCGTCCATGAATATGGGGTGGGTAGCTAACGGGATATCAAAACGACGCAAAGAAACTGATCAAGAATTCACTTAATGTAGTGGTGGTCATAAAGATTTCCCCGTAGGTCACCACTGTCAACTTACAGTCATGGGAGACACATCCCCACACAATAACTGAGCCTCCACCAAAGGGAAGAGTGGAATGAATGTGGAGTGCCAATGAGCAATGTTAATGCGCCTCCAAACTCTAAGACAACCATCTGTAACATAAAGCAGGAGCCTGACCAATGGATTTATCTCCAGGTCCAAGGATTCCAGCGTCGTCGGACAAAACACCAATGCTGACGTTGCCTTTTTATGTTAATGAGTCAAAGTAAGACGCCTTGTGACTCCTCGGGATCTTAAATCAAGTCTTGAGACGCTCTTGTTTGACAAACGTCTATTGGGCGCCCAGAGTTGCTTTAAACAGGAGCTCATGGGGAAGGATTAACGCCACGCGTATCGGGCCATATTGCGATCTTCCGCTGGAATGGTCTTCCCGGGTTGCCCTGGCCCCGATTTCTCGAAACAAACTTAAGTCGAAGTTTTGACTTAAGTTAAAGTTTTTACTCAAATTTGAGCAAAAGCATTTCCCAGAATGAACTGAAATCGATATTAAACTAAAAAATAATAGACAATTTGAGTTTGGTGAATAGATTACTTAAGTTGTTTGTTTTTTTGTTTTTTTTAGAAATACACTTCAGTTAAAAATTCAGTTTCAAGTTTGAGTACAAACTAAAGTTTGTTTCAAAATCGGGACCTGATCTTGGTCGATCTTGTCAGCACATGTTTGTTGGTGTGTCCGAATAGGTCTGCTGATGAAAGGCCCTACCCAAACTGACGCCTGATTGCCTTGAATGACGTGCCAACTGCTTGCATACCCACTGTCTGTCTCAGTCACAACGAAAGTCTTCTCGCCATGTTGACATGTACGGATGAAACGGATGGCATAGTAGTTTATTAGTGGTTTAGTGTGATCCCATGTATGTTAATGTGTACAGAGACGTGAGGGGAGTGGGACCTAGAGTAATAATTAGATACTGAATGACGTTTTCTGTAGAACATTGTCGTTTGAGGAATGTTATGGGCTCCCAATGACTGTAGCTGTGGCAAAGTGTTTTAGTAGAGTAGCCTAAATACATCATACATGTATATTATAACCAGGTATTGAATCAACAACCAGGTACGCTCAGCAGCGCCGTCGATGGAGACTTTTCTTCAACTTGAATGGATTGATTCCTCATTTGTTGATGACTGGTATCTCTTGGCAAACATCCGGCAAAAGGTTTTCCTGAAGGAGAGACAACAATGGTAACACAAGATTCCGTACACATGTTCAGGGTCTTGTGATTTGGAATCAATTGGTCATTTGTGCTGTGTTTCAGTTGTGATTTAAATTGTTCTCATCACAAACACATCAATAAGCCTACACGCTTGGTCTCTGAAGGCTTTCTCACTTCCCACAATTATGCAGGGCCGTACTGTATTCTTTGGGGATATATATCTAAAAGTCATGTTACATTTATGATATACTAGTACCTACTTACTGACGTTAATGGCATTTTTCTTCACTTCATGGCGATTTTCAGATAGATACAACATTTCATCCCTATATATTTATTATTATATTTTATTGCAGTAACTATATCTGTTTTTCGGATTAATTTGTATATGACTTTCATTGATAGTCACAATGCCAAAATGCATTCAAGTTAAAATAAATCGTCAGAGCTGGTCATTGTCAAAGGTAGCCTGTCTGAAGGCCTATGTGCAATTTCCTCAATTGTTTAGTGTTGCCCACAGCAGTTATCAATATTCTATGTTTATCACGCCGGTCTGTCAGCCTGTTCCAAGCAACAGCACATAAAATCATTAACATCGATCTGTGCAATTGGGATATGGTGTCGTACATTAACCAAGATCTCATTTGCTGTCATTTTTGGTACGCGTGGATTAATTAACATCAATTCCAACCTGGACCTTCAAAAAGCAGCATTTCAGCCAGATCACATAAGGAGATAAACATTTAACTAGCCAAATATATGTTATTGCAATCACCTTGTTTTTTTCACGCCACGTGTTGTTGTGACTGAGTTTGACAACTTTGCCATGGAGTCTTCCGCATGAGCAATCTCTGTTTCGTTGGCTGCATGATTCTCATTTACCTTTGGTTCATGGAGGTATTTTTTCATATAGACATCCCACTTTAGCAGAACTATTGGGTCTGAAGATGTCCGGGTAGACGTGTGCTCTACAGCTGAGGCAACGAAGAAGGCCTTGCATAAATTCTTGCATTTGCTGGGGTTCATTTCAAGTGACCTGGGATTGACATAACGACAGGACTCCTCCATTAGAGTGCTCCTTTTGTCTTCAAAACCTGCTATGTCCCCCAGATCATCTAAATCAAGTACCCCATGTACAATGTTAAACGTTTCATCAGTAAATTCTCTTAATGAATATAAAACACCTTTAGACAATTCGTCATTCCTTTGAATGAGGGTATGATAGTTGTCTTTTGAGTCGCTTCTGACAAAGGTGAGAATTTGAACTGGTTGATCAGATGCGATAACACAGGCATCAAGAACTCCTTCAATGTTCGTGTCTTTCAGCTGCAAATCTAACATCTGTGCAAGGGATGTTCCCATGTATATCAGTCCCATCTTTGAGGCACCAAGAAGGGTTTGCGTTTCCGTGTTCCATCTTTCACCTGAACCCTCGGGGAGCAGTATTATATCTAGACCACATGTAAAATAAATTTATGTTAATAATATCCATATCGTAGGCATTATGGAACAGGGTTTATCAGGGATATCTATATATTCCCTGAGTTATGTACATTGAATAAATAATGACCTTGCTGTCAATAGAAATGAAATCAACGCAGCTTGACCATTGTCATCATGGCCACCAACACAGATCCATATGCACATTGGCTGCCTATAATCAGCTCGTTGGACAAACGTTGGTTGGCCACATGGCATTGTGGATGAGGTGCAGGGTACTGCAGGCTGACCAGACATCTAATGTGACACTTGGCAGTCTGATCAGGATTCGACCTTAGGGATAAATAGAGAATGCTTTTTATGAGTTGGGACTGGACCCTCGGACAGCGGATTGGCAAACTGGCTGACCATAGTCTCCCAAACTGCACCATGTAGTTGTCAAATTAGATAATGCATATTTAAAGTGTTGTGGACCCACTGATGGACTTCTGTATTTGAAGACACATATATACTTTCTAAACATCCCGGCATACTATACAATGCAATATATAAATTATATTGCAAGTGGATAAGCTTGGCTACAATCGATACCTTGTTCAGAGATGTCCATAGGGGTTTCATTAACTCTGAACACTCCGACAAGTACATAACATCTGTTCTGACACAGCCTACCAAGCTGTTTCAACACATTTAACACACATGAGCTTTCCGATGAATGAGTGAGTGAGTTAAACTTTATAGTCACAGCTGCATTATATCAGCCATATTGTGACTTAAAATAGCTATAAATTCATGATAAATGCACAAATTATATAAACCTGTCGACGAAGGACAGTAAAACTAACTCGTATATCACAGTATTAAGAAATAGAACTAGCATAAATCTCTAAAATAGGATTTCAGCTTAGGACAATACAATATGAAAAAGATCGCCAACAACTGAAGGTAGATCACCACTCTATGGACCATGGGGACTTACAGTACCTTGGCTACCTGCATGGACCCTTGCTGGATTTACACAATCCCTTCAGCCATTGGCGGTTGTACTGATATTTAGCCATAATAAAACAACACATATTCTACGATTTAAAAAGTTTGTTGAGCTAAATTGACTATGAAAGTTTTGGGACTTACGTATCCTCTCAGGAGGGAAATCATTTTACAGTACTTTAACACCCTTCGAGAATACAGCCACTAACTATCTCAGTTGCTAATTTATTCTACCGATTATAAAATAACATTCAGCTATTAGCAAAACAAATAAATCAAAATTGATCAATCAACCCTATTTCTTTAAAAGAATCTATGATTAAATGATAATTGAAAAAAAGCTTTATGATGAAGATCTCGTCCAACAATGACACAACATCATAAGCCTCACGTTAGCAATGTAAAGGTGAATCAACCAACTCAAACCATTTTTAAGTCGTTCGGACATCTTCTTCCAAAAGCATCCAGTTGCATATACTGGTGGGCGGAAAGGATTACTTGTGGCTATCAGGACCTCTTCACTGGCATCTCTTAAAACTCCTTCGTTTGGCAACTTCTTTGCTGACATATCTGTAGACATCCCTGTTCCACGAGGCTGCGTATATTAACCACAATTAACAAATTACCGAATTAAGTACATATATGTAAATAAAAGCAGCTCACTACCAAAATGAGATGTATATAGGTAAACCAGATGTACCAAAAGCTTAAGATAATAGTATTTACGTATCCTCTGGCATTTACGTTTTGCAAATAAAAAAATGTCCAATGTAATGTTAAACAAAACATTTCACACATAATAATTGGGTTTCGTTTGCCCCTAAATGAATAACTTCTCCAAAGGACTGCAAAGTTGAGACAGCCATACCTCTCTAATGTCTCCTTATTGAGGAAATTATCTCCTTGGGCTCACAGCGAGTATACTTCAGAAATGGATTTCCATGTACAACCTTGTATGCTTCTGGGCCACTGTTATCATAAAACAATACTCCTGTGATTGGATTCACAACAACCTCAAGCAATGTATGGTCCATTACATGAAAGTGAACGCTGATGAGTCCGTCAGGCCAATCTATTTTGTCTCCCTTGTAGGTAATGAGACACATGTCATCTTTCAAACGCCTCTCTATTGATCGCTTTAACTCAGTATGTTTGTCTGAAGACAGTTCAATTCCATGAACTTCAAATGTTTTAGACCAATATTTGACTTCCTTCGCTTTGATGTTTGTCTGAAATGTCTCTTCTTTTTCTCCTATGCCAAGAATATATGACCCTCCTCTCTCGAGTTTTGCAAAAGCACTGACATAGAGAGGAAGACGCAGCTTCCACAAGTGATGAACAAACTGGTTTGGATATCTCAAAATTGCCTCCTTCTTGTTCTGTTCTTCCGGTTTGAATTCAAATCCTTTCAGCTGAATATCTTTTTTCCGATAGGCTTTGTAACGTTTCGTAATTTACGACTGGATGTCTTTGATGTATAACTTCTGAAGGAGGCGGATTTTGCTGCTCGGAGATTGGTTTCAAAAAGTCTCGCAATAGTTGATGATTATCTTGTATAAACCCTTTGTCGGTAACAAATTTAGTCTTGGGATCCGTAATAATAATTGTTGATGAAGGTTTAACGTCAATTACCACAAATTCATGATCCTTTTGGAACTTGTTTTTTGCAATAAACATCATCAAATGTTTCATTAGCAGTTAAGATGGTTTGAAGGTCGTCATCGATGAACTCGTCAAGGTTTCCCCAACTCAGGTCTTGTGGACTCAGGCCTTCTAAGTGAATTAGAAGATAGCCACCCGAAGAATTCCTAAGGGCCGAGACACAGTGTTTTATCTCGTCTTTCTTCCGCCTTTTTTCCTTTGAATTAGGTTTGCGTTTATTTTTTGGTTTGTTTTCGTCATAAGTGTGGCAGAAACTAGTGACTTGGAGATGCACACACAGGCACTTTTTCTTATTGTTGAATTCTACACTGTACTGTTTACATTTGTCACATCCCTGGAATAGATAATGTAACCGATTTACAAATAGTAACACCACCTTAGTTCATGCGTCATACAAGCTTTGTTTGGCTCTGGTATTATGATTGTACTTAACTGGTCAGGTATACTATTCTAGTTAAATGATTACTGATTCACAACCCGAAAATGTGGTGCGAGAAGACAAAACGAAATCCGTACAAGATCACAAACTTTTAAACCTTTGAATATTGACGCTTAAAATGTCTTCACAGTTATCCAATGTACACATGGAGGAAAAGCATTATAGCAATGTGTCACAGAGAAGAAATACAGATAATACGTCTTGCTACTTCACTGTAATTTAATACTTCGTGGTAAATCCCAGCCTAGACATTGCAAATATATTCATGCTCCACTTATGGTCTCGGCCAAAAAGATGTCAGAGGCAACCCCTCACCCTCCACCATATTTCCCTGGAGTATATTCTTCAGGTGAACAATTCACTTGTCTGTGATGCCTCTACTTGCAGACTGCTTTGGAATCTACATTAGTTCTCACTGGCAAATTATATTCTTATTATCTACTATTCATATCTGCTATTAGGCTGATTGGGGATTGAAACTAACACCCAAAAGAAACTTGGCAAATAAAAAAACATTAAATTGTAGAAAGACACACACTTTCATATAAATGTAACCAAGCCAAATCTATTCCTCAAACCCCGCAGAATATGATTCAGTGTAATGACTGCAGGTTTTCGCATGTGTGTTTCTTCTTTTAAAAAAAGCACGTTATTTGCCTGTTTAGAAATTGCACACGCACATATGGTATAAAAACGGTTCAGTTCCCATGTTAGACATGCAGTATTAAGAAAAAAATACAAATGAAATGCTGGGGTTAAACGAACAGTGTGAGGGGGCCATAGGAATGCTGCAAATGGGGCACCACAGACCCATGTTGCAAGAACATTGAACTGCACTCGTAACACTGTAAACAACTTGGTCCAGCTCTTCAGAAAAAGAGGTCTGACAACAGACAGGCCAAGAACATGCAGATCATCGGTGACCACACCCCTTCAAGATCGCTACCTATACAACACCTTGAGTCTGCTTAACAGATTCTAGCCTGAGATGTCATCAAAGTCGAATGCGTTGAGTGGTGTGGTCAGTAGACAGACAGTAGTAACACGACTAAAGGCAGTCGGTATCAGAGACTACGAACCCTACAGAGGCCTGCTGTTGACAAATGAACATCATCGTCGAAGACTGAGACAGACGAGTTCAGTGAAGCATTGATAATGTCGCATCCTCTTCCCCGACATGAGCAGGTTCTGCATGTTCTATTCTGTTAGCCCTGGCACATTTTTGCGTATCCTAATTCCCTAATAGCCATTTCTTTCATGCGCAGTCATACGCACAATACGCACCTCATATGCATTTTGATCATTTTGTGTAAGTTTTATGTACGCGGGCATGCGCACAGTACGATCGAGCATCCGTGATAGTTTTGGGCATGCACATATCTATGCCGCATAAGCTGTTATGCAGGTCATAAGTTATATAAATACGCAGTGCATTGGCCCCGCATCGGTCGAGCACTGTGCGAATCTGCTATGTGTTAGTGTTGAGTTGGGTTGGGCTTTACGTCACATCGGCATTATTCCAGCCATATAGTGACGAGAACAAGTCTGCTTTAATATACATTGTAAGTACAAAGTCAAAAATGGTTTCGTTTCAAAGACACACATTCATTACATTGTCATTTTAGAACAGAGAATGTCATAGCACTAAATTGAAAAGCAGGTAAATTCGTTAGTGACATTACACAGGTACAATTTATGATAAGATCAACTTCCCTCGGGTAGTTCAATATCAGATGAGCGCTCACGCTGGAGAACAGATCTTTCAGATTGGTTGCGTGATAATGCGAGTCCCTTGCAGATGTAAAGTCCACACAGTCAAGCAGAATATGCTTGACGGTGAAAGCCTCATCGCAGGAGAGACATATGGGGGGTCCATCCCCATCTGTTTTCAGCAGATAGTCATGCGTAAACCGACTGTGGCCAATACGCAATCGTCGTAAAATTACTTCATCACGTCTTGACTGACAACCCATGTAGGTATAACCGATTGTTGGCTTCAATTCATGGAGTTTGTTTCTTCCTACTTGAGTGTCCCACCTTTTTTGCATCAGGTCCCGAGTATAGCTTTTGATAGTGGGTTTAAACTCACTGTACGGGATTAGCAGTGGTGACCGGGGCTTTTCAAGTGCTGCTTTTGCTGCAGCATCGGCCTGAGTGTTACCTGCTATGCCGATGTGGCCCGGCAACCAGCAGAGGAAGATGTCACATTGGCCAGTAGAAAGGTCGTTGTAAAGTTATAATATGTCCAGGATGATTGGGTGACTTGAAGTCACATTTTGAAGTGCTTGAAGGCAGGATAATGAATCTGTAAAAACGATGAAGTTTTTGGAATGATTTTGCTGTTGAATGTAGGTCAAAGCTGAAAAGATAGCTTTGGCTTCAGCGGTGAAAATGGAACTGTTGTCGGGGATCCTAGAGGAGACAGTCTTGGATCCAATGACTGTAGCGCTGGCAACTTGACCATCGTTCTTGGATCCGTCTGTGAAAATGGATCTATGAGTCTTATACTTTGAACGTAGCTGGTAGTATTCCTGTTGGAACACCAAAGGATTTGTTTCAGACTTTTAGAGTTTGGTGAGGGTAAGATCGACCTGTGGTTTCACCATTTGCCATGGTGGTGAGGACAGAAGTCGGTAAGGTGCAGTGATATTGAGATCAATTTTAGCTGCAGATATGTGTGGTTTGATCCTGATTCAAAGTGGTGGAACCAGGCTTGGCAGATTAGGGAACAGGTTTTCATAGAGAGGGTTGAAAACACAATTGTATGCTGGATTGGACTCATTTGAACGTAATTTAGTGATATACGGCAGTGCGAGTTTAATGCGGCGTTGTTCAAGGGAAGGTTCATTGGCTTCCACATATAGACTGTCTACTGGAGAGGTCCTAAAAGCTCCCAGGCAGAGCCTCAGCCCTTGGTGGTGGATAGAGTCTAAGTTTTCTAGATTGCTTTTGCAGGCTCAACTGTAGACAATGGAGCCATAATCTAGTTTACTGCGAACTAATGATCTGTACAAGTGAAGGAGGGAGGTCTGATCCCCCTCCCCACTCTGTATTTGAAACTACTTTTAGCAAGTCTAGAGCTTTCAAGCACTTGGTTTTCAAATATTTTATGTGTTGTAAGAATGTCAGGTGACGGTTGAATATGAGTCCAAGGAATTTGACTTCTTCTACTACCTGGATGGGAGTACCATCTAAAGTTAGGTCTGGATCCTTGTGTTGTTCGTATTTACGACAAAAGTCAATACAATTTGTTTTGGATTTTGAAAACTTAAAACCATTTTCATTGGCCCATTTTTGGATTTTGTTAAGGCAGAGTTGTAGCTGCCTTTCTATTGTGTGCATGTTCTTACCACGACATGAAATACTGAAGTCATCCACGAAAAGGGACCCATCGACGCAACTGTTCAGAACGTTAGTGAGGCTGTTACTTTTTATGCTAAAAAGTGTGACAGACAGGATGCTGCCTTGGGGGACGCCCTGATCTTGTTGGAAATAGTCAGACAATGTGGAACCCTCCCGAACTTGAAATTGTCTGTTGTTTAAAAACTGAGATATGAATTGAGGTAGTCTACCCCTCTATCCAAACTCGTTATCAATCTTTTAGGATACCATGTTTCCACGTTGTATCATATGCCTTTTCTAAGTCGAAAAAGATAGATAATGTATGTTGTTTGTTGACAATGGAGTTTTTGATGAATGCTTCCAGACGCATCAGATGGTCAATGGTACTTCGGTTCTTTCGGAAACCACATTGGAGGTCACTGAGGAGATAATTGGTCTCCAAGTACCAGATTAATCGATTGTTGACCATGCGCTCCATGGTTTTGCAAACGCAGCTAGTTAGTGATATAGGACGGTAGTTTGAGGGATTAGCATGATCGCGGCCAGGTTTTGGTATAGGGATGATAATGGCATTGTACCATGAAGGGGGAAAGTGTCCGGATGTCCAGATGTCATCAAATATATTTAGTAGTGTTTCCAAGCCTGAGTCAGGGAGGTGTTTCAGAAGCTGATAATGGATTTCATCAGCTCCTGCCGCAGTGTCGTGAGCCTGTCCTAGGGCAGTACGTAATTCATGGAGGGAAAACGTTTCGTTGTAATCCTCCCCATTGTCAGAGTTAAAATTGACTGGGGTTTTTTTCTGGGTATTTCTGGAACTGAGGGTTATAATTTGATGAGGAGGAGTGGTTTGCCAAAGTTTCGCCAAGTTTGTTTGAAATTTCAGATTTATTTGTTAGGAGGGAGTCACCATCTTTCAGGTGGTGAACTCCTGATTTTGACCCTTTGCCCTTAATCTTTTGAATCATGTTCCAAACCTTGGACATGGGCGTGCGGGAGTTGATTTTTGACACATATTTCCTCCATGACCGGCGTTTAGTTTGTTTGAAGGTACGTTTTGCCCTGGCATTTGTCATTTTAAGAGCATTTAGGTTATGCACTGTAGGATGTTGTCGGAAATATTCTTCTGCCTTCTTCCTATTTTTCCTAGCTTGTTTGCAGTTTGTATCAAACCATGGTTTGCGTATGTGCGGGTTTGCAGAGGAATAGTTTTGTCTCCGATGGCATTGAGGGCGTCTGAAAATAGTTCCATGGGGTCAGGAACATTCCTGAAGTTGTCAGGCTTAAGTTTTTCTGAACATAGGGTTTGGAATAAAGGCCAATTGGCCTTAGTAAAATTCCATCTTGTTGATGCTGGTTCATCCGTGGGGTTGATAGGAGTAAGAATTGTTGGGAAGTGGTCGCTTCCACAAAAGTCGTCATGGACCGACCATTCAAACTTATTTAAAAGATTAGAATCTGTAAGTGATAGATCGAGAGCAGAGTATGATCCAGTGGCAGGATGGAGGTAGGTGTTTGATCCATCGTTGAAGATGCATACATCATTATTTGAGAGA